CGGCCGGAGACGGCTCCAAGGCTGCAGATCCCAATATCCGGGGCTTAGTTATGACGTCATCGCTCAGATTTCTACTCGTCTGCGAATCCTGAGGACGGACATGACGGGGAATAAGACGAATGGCGGAAATGTTACAGTCTGGAGCCCCCTCCCCCGGTGCCCCTTGTCTGACGTCATGGCGGTCCTTGCCTCCAGTCAGCGCAGTCCGCCGGTGTTTCTGGAAGAGCCGCGTCACCGCGGAGCGGCCTGTGTATTCACCGCGCCGGGATCATTCACTGACACCCCCCAGGTGGGCTGCGGTCAGGAGACGGCGAGCTGGTAGGCCGCACCCCCTCTGCGCCATTCCTCCGAGTCCGGGCAGGATTGGGCGGCGCAGCTCCGTTACGGATCAGGATGACGCCATTTCAGCGGTTACTGTGTTGTATTCGGTGGGACATCAGACGGGGGAGGAGTTTGGGGGGGAGGAGTTTGGGGGGGGGGCCGCCATTGCTGGTCTCTGGAAGTGCTGCTTGCCTGGCTGTGCCACACACCAGGATTCCTCATCCCTGCGCCGGGCTCGGGGAGCACGGAAGCCGCCGGATCAGCATGACAGCCGGGAACTGACATCTACACAACCAGAAGCCGACCTAACTCTCTAATGACGGGAATTCTGACCAATACAGAGGAGCGGGAGACTGCGGGGGCGGGGCCAGACTTCCTATAATACAGAGTCCTGGGATTGGGCGCATTGCAGACTTCCACACCGAGACTGCTAGAGACCGACACTATGTTACCAGAGACTACTCACCTGACCATGGGGGGTCATTACAGCCCTCTGATTGGACGGGGTGAAGGAGGCAATCCATGAACTCAAGAAACTAAATCAGAGAGGTGCACGGAGGAGGAAGCAGCTGAAGTCTTCTGCTGGTAGGAGGTTGGCAGTGACAATGCTGCAGGTAACAACAACAAATTCCTCTTCTCTGGACGCACCTGACATGGCGGTCTGGTAGAGGTGGAGTCCCCCTTTAAGGGCGTTCCCGTGGCAGCGGCGAGCGCTCGGCGCGCTCCGTAATGAGCGGTTTTACTTTCTCTCGCCGTCGGCTCCTCATCCCGAGGAAACGATCTTCCCAGTTTCCGTGGAAACCGTCAACGTCTGCGCTCCATCGCCGGGTGACAGCGCCGAAAATAGTCCATTATTACAGGCGACCTTCTCACCAGGGGGGCGGAGCCTGTCATTCAAAAAGATTCAAA